GTAACCTAGGAGGCTGAGGTGGGAGGATTGCTTGAGCCCAGGAGTTCAAGACCAGCCTGGGCAACTCAGTGAGACGCCATCTCTACTAAAAATTTAAAAAAATTAGCCCAGTGCAGTAGTGCACACCTGTAGAGAAAAAGAAAGAAAAAAAGAAATAGACATAACCTTATTTATGAGAGAATGATAAATGGAAATTTCCTTTTCTCATAAAGAACTTTGTTTTGTATACATAGTACTTTCAAATACTTCAAATACTCAGATTAAGAACAGGCGTGGCTGGGCACGGTGGCTCACGCCTGTAATCCCAGCACTTTGGGAGGCCGAGGCCGGTGGATCATGAGGTCAGGAGATCGAGACCATCCTGGCTAACACGGTGAAACTCCGTCTCTATTTAAAAAATACAAAAAAATTAGCCGGGCGTGGTAGCGGGCGCCTGTACTCCCAGCTACTCAGGAGGCTGAGGCAGGAGAATGGCGTGAACCCGGGAGGCGGAGCTTGCAGTGAGCTGAGACTGCCACTGCACTCCAGCCTGGGTGACCGAGCAAGAGTCCATCTCAAAAAAAAAAAAAAAAAAAAGAACAAGGGTGAAGACAGAGCACAGACCGGGGTACAAGGACACCTAAATGACTCCCAGGGGTGGCTGGCTGGGGCTTCAATGAGGACACGTGGTTTCAGCATTTGTCATGATCCCTGGCACTTGGTCCATGTTCAGTTATTATTACTTATTACTAAAGGCAAAGAAAGAAAATTCCCTTGTGTTCCCTGGAAACCATGATGGACCCTGTGGCTGCAACCCTGGTTGGGTACCCCTGGTCAGGCACCCGTGGCACTGCAGCCCTGGCACCTCCCAAATGGTCACAGGGGTGGGGAGAGCTGAACCAGCAGGAGAGAAAGGAGCCAGGGCAGAGTGGATCTTATGCCCTCTGAGGCATTTTTTTTTTTTTTTTTTTTTTTTTTTGCGACAGGGTTTCACTCTGTCACCCAGGCTGCAGTGCAGTGATGCAATCATGGCTCACTGCAGGCTCAATGTCCCAGGCTCAGGTGATCCTCCCACCTCAGCCTCCTGAGTAGCTGGGACCACAGGTATGCAGCATGACATCTGGTTAGTTGTTTGTATTTTTTGTACATGTTGCCCAGGCTGGTCTCAACCTCCTGGTAGGTTCAAGCAATCTGCTTGCCTTGGTCACCAAAGTGCTGGAATTACAGGTGTGAGCCCATAATGACTCATGCCTAGCCAGGTCATATTATTATTATTATTATATATATTTTTTTGAGACAGAGTCTTGCTGCTGCCAGGCAGGAGTGCAGTGGTGCCATCCCAGCTCACTGCAACCTCCGCCTTCTGGGTTCAAGGGATTCTCCTGCCTCAGGCTCCTGAGTAGCTAGGATTACAGGCGCGCACCACCATGCCCGGCTAAATTTTGTATATTTAGTAGAGACGGGGTTTCACCGTGTTGGCCAGGCTGGTCTTGAACTCCTGACCTCAGGTGATCCACCCGCCTCGGCCTCCCAAAGTGCTGGGATTACAGGCATGAGCCACAGTGCCCAGCCTAATTTTTGTATTTTTAGTAGAGATGGGATTTCACCATGTTGGCCAGGCTGGTCTGGAACTCCTGACCTCAGGTGATCCACCTGCTTTTACCTCCCAAAGTGTGGAATTACAGGTGTGAGCCACCTGCGCCTGGCCTGAAGTCATAAATTTTAAAGGTTTTTGGGCCATACGGGGTGGCTCACGCCTGTAATTCCAACACTTTGGGAAGCCAAGACGGGCGGATAACCTGAGGTCAGGAGTTCAAAACCAGTCTGGCCAACATGGTGAAACCCATCTCTACAAAAATACAAAAATTAGCTGTGTGTGATGGCAGGTGCCTGTAATCCCAGCTACTCAGGAGGCTGAGGTGGAAGAATTGCTTGAACCTGGGAGGCGGAGGTTGCAGTGAGCTGAGATTGCGCCACTGCACTCTACTCTGGATGACAGAGCCAGACTCTGTCAAAAAAAATTTTTAAAGGTTTTAAAAAATGTACTTATCAGGAATTCCTCCCCCAATCCTGTTCTCTTTGATTTTGTGGCTCTCTGGGTTTTCATACTTAAATTGGCAGGATTTCTGGAGGTGGAAGGCATAACTGTATGTAATTCATCCAGTAGGTTCAGCTAGAAGTCCCAAATCAACCTACTTCATTGTTCCTTTCAGATAGAAGTTGCTTGGCAGATTCATCACTTAGGTCTTTTACTTCTGATTGTCCTTAGCAGTATTGATCCTTTCCATTAGTCTTCCGGAGTCACTTGCTGCAGGGTGTCCGGGACATGCACCATCAGGGACACGTGAGTTGTCCTAGAAATCCTGTGTAGGTATGAAATCTTTCAACATCTCCTCTGAAGAGCGTTTATTCTTTAAGTAACCCCCAACATACAAGTGACTGCCTGTGGACTTGATGCCAAGGCCTCTCCCAGGCAGGTCTGGGTGAGTGGAGCCTCTGGGGTCCTGCCTCTCCCAGCCCATCTGCCTCTGCAGCTCATTGCAGTAGCTGCTTCCTCAGCATGCAGGGGAGGCTGAAGTGGGACAACACCATTCCTGTCAAAGGCTGACCATGTGGTCTCCAGACTGCAAGATGCCCGAGTGCCTACTTTGATGATAGTCAATTCTTTTTTTTTTTTTTTTTTTTTTTTTGAGACGGAGTCTTGCTCTGTTGCCAGGCTGGAGTGCAGTGGCGCGATCTTGGCTCACTGCATCCTCCGCCTCCGAGGTTCAAGCCATTCTCCTGCCTCAGCCTCCCAAGTAGCTGGGACTACAGGTGTGCATCACCACGCCAGGCTAATTTTTGTATTTTTAGTAGAGACTGGGTTTCACAGTGTTGGCCAGGATGGTCTCAATCTCTTGACCTCATGATCTGCCCGCCTCGGCCTCCCAAAGTGCTGGGATTACAGGCGTGAGCCACCGCGCCCGGCTGATAGTCAGATCTTAATAAATATAGCAAAGGAAGAGGAAAGAGAAATCCTAAGAAATGTTGCCTTTAAATGCTTTTGGCTGGGCTCGGTGGCTCACACCTGTAATCCCAGCACTTGGGGAGGCCAAGGCGGGGGATCACCTGAGGTCAGTAATTCAAGACCAGCCTGACCAACACGGTGAAACCCTATCTCACTAAAAATACAATATTAGCTGAGTATGGTGGTGCATGCTTGTAAAAATCAGCCAGGCATGGTGGCAGGTGCATGTAATCCCAGCTACTTGGGAGGCTGAGGGGGGAGAATCACTTGAACCTGGGAGGTGGAGGCTGTGGTGAGCCGAGATCACACCACTGCACCCCAGTCTGGGCAACAAGAGTGAGACTCTGTCTCAAAAAATAAAGTTACAATAGTCTTAATAAACTTAGATAAATAGTATTTATAGTTAAATACTAAAAGGACACAATTAAAAACTATACTTGGCCAGGTGCAGTGGCTCACACCTATAATCTCAGCACTTTGGGAAGCCGAGGCAGGAGGATCACTTGAGGCCAGGAGTTCAAGGCCAGCCAGGGCAACATAGCAAGACCCCATCTCTAAAAAGTAAAAATTAAAAAATTAGCCAGACGTGGTTATGCACACCTATAGTCCCAGCTACTCTGGAGGCTAAGGCAGGAGGATCACCTGAGCACAGGAGTTTGAGGCTGAGATTACAGTGAGCTACGATCATGCCACCACATTCTAGCCTGGGCAACAGAGCAAGACCCTGTGTCTAAAAACAACAACAACAACATTATTGCTGGGCTGGGCAGTGCATGACTGTAGTCTCTCAGGAGACTGAGAAGGGAGGATCACTTGACCTCAGGAGTTTGGCACTATCTGGGCCACATGGTAAGATCCTATCTCTTAAAAAAACAAAACAAAAAACTAAAACTGCTATTTATTAAGTATCACTATATATATAGTCCCACAGAATATAAAGTTTGGGATCAGAGAACTTACAAAAAGGCAAACACAGATGTAGAACCATGTAACAAGTAATGCCACCAAAAAGAAGAGTTTAAAGTAGGCTTTTACAGGCCGGGCGCAGTGACTCATACCTGTAATCCCAGTACTTTGGGAGGGCAAGGCGGGTGGATCACGAGGTCAGAAGATGGAGACCATCTTGGCCAACATGGTAAAAACTTGTCTCTACTAAAAATACAAAAATTAGCTCGATGTGGCGGCGCGTGCCTGTAGTCCCAACTACTCAAGAGGCTGAGGCATGAGAATCACTTGAACCCAGGAGGCGGAGGTTGCAGTGAGCTGAGATCGTGCCACTCACTCCAGTCTGGTGACAAAGTGAGACTCCACTTCAAAAAACAAACAAACAAAAAAGTAGGCTTTTGCATACCTTCACATTCCACATCCTAGCTTTTGGCCAGTCTCTTCAGTCTGTTTCAAAACGGTCACCTTTCCCTCATTCTAACCTAGTATGTTAACTCTGGAAATGGCCGCAAACGTTGTGAAAGCCGAGGATTTGTGGCAGCAGAATGCCAGGGAAGACAGTTCACATCGCTTGTCACGTCCCCAGTATGCAAACAGCGGCAATTTTTTCGTAGGTTATTTTCATTGTCATGATGTCAAACTTCACTTTAACTCTATGGGATCTTATTATTTAAGATGAAGTCTCACTCTGTCACCCAGGTTGGGCTGCAATGGCTCACAGCAGGCTCTGCCTCCTGATTCAAGCGATTCTTCTGCCTCAGCCTCTCGAGTAGCTGGGATTGCAGGCACGTACCACCATGCCGGTTGATTTTTGTATTTTTAGTAGAGACAGGGTTTCAGTATGTTGGCCAGGCTGGACTCGAACTCCTAACCTCAAGTGATCTGCCCACTTCGGCCTCCCAAAGTGCTGGGATTACAGGCGTGAGCCACTGCACCTGGCCCAAAAACTAATATATTCTCATAAAAACTTCAACAATCAGATAGGCATAAAGTGAAAATATTAAACCAAGGATTTTCTACACAAATGTATAAAGCACGCCTTATTTATAGAAACCAGATCACTCACTCATTCTGCTCAGAAACTCATTGATTTTACTCAGAAGCACCCACGAGTGATGGGTTCCCAGGAGGGGCAGAGGAGGCTGAGCGGCACCACATGGGGCTGGCCGCGGGCTGTGGACATGGGCATGCCTGGAGAGGCCACGGGGCTGGTGACAAGCTCTGGCCAGAAGACCCCAAGAAGGTCTGATCCTGAGGTCTGATCCAGGCCTGCGGCACTGAGTCCTAGGCAGGAGACTGTCTGCCTGGTGAGAAGTGGAAGGAGCCAGTGTCCGCAGCCATCTCAGGACGTCACAGAGCTCGGTGGCCCGTCTCCAGCAGCATGCTCTCCAGATGCAGCCTGCTGTCGCTCTCCACGTAGGGCTGGTGCAGCCACATGGACAAGTAGCTCAGGGTGAGGTCAGGATCCCTGGTGTGTGCAAGCTCCTTGGCCACCGTGCGCTTCAGGAGCAGCTCCTTCCTGTACATCTCCAAGAGCTTGTGCGAAACCTCATCTGAAAGAAACGTGAGTGTCCCTTAATGGCAGTGATTCAAGAATGTAGTCTTGACTCGGGAAGAACTACATTTTTAACAGCTCTTAATTAAAAACCAGAATTAGCAACAGCACTGAAAGGAAGAAGGGCCCGATGGAGTTTACCACTCTAGCTGGTACAGATTAGTACAATTCGATAACACCGTCAACAGAGTGAAATAAAAGCGTATATAGGCCAGGCGCGGTGGCCCACGCCTGTAATCCCAGCACTGTGGGAGGCCCAAGTGGGTAGGTCACATGAGGTCAGGAGTTTGAGACCAGCCTGGCCAACATGGCAAAACCCTGTCTCTACTAAAAAATATAAAAACTAGGGCGGGCGCGGTGGCTCACACCTGTAATCCCAGCACTTTGGGAGGCCAAGGTGGGTGGATCACGAGGTGAGGAGATCGAGACCATCCTGGCTAACATGGTGAAACCCCGTCTCTACTAAAAACATGAAAAATTAGCCAGACATGGTGGCGGGCGCCTGTAGTCCCAGCTGCTCAGAAGGCTGAGGCAGGAGAATGGCGTGAATCCGGGAGGCGGAGCTTGCGGTGAGCTGAGATTGCGCCACCGCACTCCAGCCTGGGCGACAGAGCGAGACTCCGTCTCCAAAAAAAAAAACAAACAAACTAGCCGGGTGTGGTGGCGCGCGCCTGTAATCTCAGCTACTTGGGAGACTGAGGCACGAGAATTGCTTCAGCCTAGGAGGCAGAGGCTGTAGTGAGCCAAGACTGCACCGCTACACTCCAGCATGCGTGACAGAGCGAGACTCTGTCTCAAAAAAAGTATACATAACCTTTTCTACCTGACCCTTAGGTGACCTACAGTGATTATAAGTAGGAGATTCCCCTCAAACTGACAATATATCACTAAACACATTCCACCAGGTGATTTTCCCCTTTCCTGCCTTATTTAAAAAGTCTCAGATCAACATAAAACAGCTTAGCCCTTGTCTTGAACTAATAAAGCTAAAAGTAGCCCTTTAAGAAGTACCTCCTAGAGTTTATTGAAGTCATGGCCTTCATCTTTCCCAGTCATCTTCCATGAGGTTGGCTGCAGTGACCTCACTTTGTTTTTTAATTAAAACAAAAAGGAAAAGAAAAACCTCAACAAACCAAAAAAACCCCTTTCTCCCCTTCCCCCCCAAAATGAGAGATTTCTGCTTCCACAGAGGAGGTGGAATTCACTCTGCCCCACTGGTTTTAGAGGCCTAATAACAGCAGCTTGCTTCACGGGTCTCTAATTATGTTTAATATACTCTGCTGACAACCAGGTAATTAAAGCCAAGAAGAAATGTTTATTTTAAGACGCCTCTGTCTCTTTTCCTCCCGATAGATACTTTTGCATTGAATTTCAAAGCCTTGTCAGCTTCTTAAAGTACCAGATGTAAACGATACTAAATGCCCTTAATAACCTTTACCCTCCTGAAAGTTAACTGAGAAGGAACTACTTACAGAAATGGGTTGTAGGCCAAGTGTGGAACAGAGGGGGTCGTTTAGTCTCCTCCCCATAATGGTAATTTTCTAGTTCACAAATTCCCTTGGTAGTTGAAGACAGCTTTTCCATTTTCACCTGTATTTTGGTCTGAAACATATTCATTTAGAATATGATAATATTTGAAATCTCCAGTCTCAGATTTAATACCTATAAGATTTCAAAGCTAAGAAGTGTACATCATTGTGATAAAAATTCTAATAACTAAACACTGTTAACTCTAAGTACAGCAAATTCCCAGGGAGACGAAGGTGGACAGTTGCTATGATTCCATTAATTTGAATTACTTTGGTAATAAACCCCAGATTTCCAGTCCTAGAGCAAGAAAGGTTTCTGAGTGCCATTTCACTAGGATTTCCAAAGAGCACTAATGTTTTAGGCCCAAAGTCCTAGGGGAATCCCAAGGCAGCCTCTTGCTGCCTGTTTTTTTTTTTTGAGACAGGGTCTCATTCTGTTGCCCAAGTTGTAAAACTGTAATGCAGTGGCATGACCGTGCCTCATGCAGCCTCGACTGCCTCCCAAGTAGCTGGGATCACAGGTGTGCACCACCACGCCCAGTTAATTTTTTTTAATTTGTAGAGACAGGGTCTCGTTATGTTGCCCAGGCTGGTCTCTAACTCCTGGGCTCAAGCGATCCTCCCACCTCAGCCTCCCAAAGTGCTGGGATTATACAGACATGTGCCACCATGCCTGGCTGGCTCTTGCTGCTTTTAAGAAGTGAGAGAGAAAGGCATCAAATGAGCTCATTTCTGACTCTCTTTTTTTTTTTTTTTGAGACGGAGTCTCGCTCTGTCACCAAGCTGGAGTGCAGCGCCAGGCTGGAGTGTAGTGCCAGGCTGGAGAGTGCAGTGCCAGGCTGGAGTGCAGTGCCAGGCTGGAGTGCCGTGCCAGGCTGGAGTGTAGTGGTGGGATCTTGGCTCACTACAACCTCTGACTCCCGGGTTCAAGTGATTCTCCTGCCTCAGCCTCCCAAGTAGCTGGGATTACAGGTGTGTGCCACCACACCCAGCTAATTTGTGTATGTTTAGTAGAGATGGGGTTTCACCATGTTGGCCAGGCTGGTCTCGATCTCCCGAACTCGTGATCCACCCGCCTCGGCCTCCCAAAGTGCTGGGATTATAGGTGTGAGACATCGCACCAGGCCTGACCCTCTCTTATTAACTGCCTTTATTTACGGAAACCTCCTTGACTTCCTTGTTTATAAAATGGCAACACAGAAAGGGAGCCCTCAACACTTCACGCAGGAAGTAAGGAAACGTGGCGAGGTGCCATTGACGGCCCCTCAGTGGGGGCCAGGCTCTGTCCTAAGCCCTGTAACTGCATGATGTGCACAGCCACTTGTGGGAGCTACTAAACCATCCCCGCTGCACACAGCAGGCAGCACAGAATAGGGGCAATGGCGGGCTTACTTCCACAGCGTGGTGAAGAGGATTGAGTTAGTATTTGTGAAGCACCTACTTGGAGATATATAAGGGTTTGATAAAGAAAATTAATGGGTGAAGTAACTACGATTTCAGATTTAAGTAGCATAGGTCTATGAAGACCAAATTTTAAACTCCTAAGTATAGCTGACTTTACATACATGGGGGGGAAATAAGAAAAGATATATAAATTGTCAAAAATATTAATTCCTTTACTTGGTCCTTCCAACCACCCTCCAATTACATTGGAAGTGGCAAGCACTAAATGCAGCTAATGTTAATTTTTACAGGACTTTACTTGTTTCCCAAATCTTTTACGGTTTGATATTTTATTTGGCCCAACCCCAAGAGGCAGGACTCATCATTTCCCTTTCACAGCTGGGAAACTGCTCCAGGTTGAGCTGAGAGGGATGAGGCCAGAACTCGATACCATGCCTTCTGACACCAAGTTTTAACACCCAGTCCTCTGCTCTTTCCTCTGAGTCCTGCGGCAGCTCCCTGGTGCCACCTGATTCTAAGAAAAGCTGATACCAGGAGAATAAGGGAAATTCTGGAGCCTTGACCCCAGGCGAGAAGTCATGCTCAATTCTGTCGCTCAGCCATCAGTAAGGAATTCAGGTCACATAGGCACGTGCATCCCTGAATGAACAATGCATAAACAACAGCCCCTTACATTTCAACATTGGTGGCTTCTTCCCACAGCAAACACAGACCACAGTGAAATGTTAGCCCAGCTTAGGGGAAACAGTGCATGCAACCCCCAGAAGGTCAAACTTATGAAAGACACAGACCAGGTCTGGAAACCATGCTCCTTAACCGATAGAGGAAAATAGGAAGAAGAATAATAATAATACCCTTATAAAATCAACTTTTGGTTTCGAACATAGAATGAAAACTTATTCCCAAACCACTTTTCTTTTCTTTTTTTTTTTTTTGAGACGAGTTTCACTCTGTCACCCAGGCTGGAGTACAGTGGTGCGATCTCAGCTCACTGCAAGCTCTGCCTCCTGGGTTCAAGCAATTCTCTGCCTCAGCCTCCTGAGTAGCTGGGATGACAGGCACCCACCACCACGCCTGGCTAATTTTCGTATTTGTAGTAGAAACGGGGTTTAACCATCTTGGCCAGGCTGGTCTTGAACTCCTGACCTTGTGATCCACCCACCTTGGCCTCCCAAAGTGCTGGGATTACAGATGTGAGCCACCGCGCCCGGGCTTTTCTTTTTTTTTTGAGACGGAGTCTCACTCTGTTGCCCCGACTGGAGTGCAGTAGTGTGATCTCGGCTAACTGCAACCTCCGAAAGTGATTCTCCTGCTTCAGCCTCCCCAAGTAGCTGGGACTGCAGTGCCTGCCACCACCCCCAGCTAATTTTTTGTATTTTAGTAGAGATGGGGTTTCACCATATTGGCCATGCTGGTCTCAAACTCCTGACCTCAGGTGAGCCAACTGCCTCAGGCCTCCCAGAGTGCTGGGATTACAGGCATGAGTCACCAGGCCTGGCCAAAACAAATTTTTTTAAAAAATAAATAAAAATACAACAGTTAGCTGGGTGTGGTGGCAGACACTTGTAATCCTAGCTACTTGGGAAGCTGAGACAGGAGAACCACTTGAACCCGGGAGGCAGAGGTTGTGGTGGGCCCAGATCACCCCCACTGCACTCTAGCCTGGGTGACAAGAGCGAAAATCCATCTCTTAAAAAAAAAAAAAAAAAAAAAATAACAAATGGGAGGGAGGGAACCAATCTCCCATGCAGAATAATTCCGAATAATTTATGTAGATACTGCACCCTGAAGGAGGTGGTGAAAACGTCCCTACCCCCAAGGTTTGGGCTACACATAGTGACTTCCTGCCAGAGAGCACAGCATGGGAGGAGGAGAAAGAGCAACTTCACAGCAGAGGAACCTGGTGTGCCTGGTGATCAAGGTCAACTTTGACAGTGAAAAGTCCTGGCCGTGCACAGTGGCTCACGTCTGGAATCTCAGCACTGTGGGAGGCTGAGGTGGGAGGACTGCTTAAGCCCAGGAGTTTGAGACCAGCCTGGGCAATAGGTGAGACCCAAAGAAAAGTCCTGATGACAGAATGTCCAGTATGTGCCCTTGATATGATGTGATAGAAATGGCACTTTACTTCTGTGGTCCTCCTCTGAAACAAACCCATAACCTCAGTCTAATTCGGAGAAAAACATCAGAGAAATCTCCACTGAGGGACGTTCTACAGAATACCTGACCAGTATTCCTCAAAATTGTCCAAGTCATCAAAAACAGGGAAGTCTGAGAAACTGTCACAGCCAAAAGGAGCCTAAGGAAACACGGGGACTCAATGTCATACGGGATCCTGAAGCCGAAAGAAGACATGACAGAAAAGCTAAGGCCGGGCGCCAGGGCTCACACCTGTGATCCCAGCACTTTGGAAGGCCAAGGTGGGAGGATGACGTCATGTCTGGAGTTCGAGACCAGCCTGGTGAACATGATAACCCTGTCTCTGCAAACAAATTTTAAAAATTAGCCGGGCATGATGATTCATGCTTGTAGTCCCAGCTGCTCAGGAGGCTGAGGCAAGAAGATCACTTCAGCCCAGGAAGTAAAGGCTGCAGTGAGCTGTGATCATGCTACTGCATTCCAGAGCAAGACCTTGTCTCCAAACAAACAAACAAAAAGGTGAAAATATAAAGATCTTAAACGTTTACGGGTAAGTTTCAGTTATCCAAGTTCAAATATGTGTAAAACCTAATTTCCTGTGCCTAGCAAAGAAATAAGGTGGTATTATCTTCACATCTGGTGGCCAGTATGGTAGGTTTTGAAATTTAGTTATTAGTTCATTAAACAAACACTTTAGTCTCTTACGTGCTGTATCAGGGATGGGCAAATTATCCACGGAACACACGTCAATTCTGGCCCACAGCCTATTTCTGTATGGCCCACAAGCTAAGATGGTTTTTTTTTCATTTTTAAATGGTTGAAAATAACCAAAAGGACAATAGTGATTGTGACTCATAAAAGTTATACAAGGCCGGGCGCGGTGGCTCAAGCCTGTAATCCCAGCACTTTGGGAGGCCGAGACGGGTAGATCACGAGGTCAGGAGTTCGAGACCATCCTGGCTAACACGGTGAAACCCCGTCTCTACTAAAAAATACAAAAAACTAGCCGGGCGAGGTGGTGGGCGCCTGTAGTCCCAGCTACTCAGGAGGCTGAGGCAGGAGAATGGCGTAAAAACCTGGGAGGCGGAGCTTGCAGTGAGCTGAGATCCGGCCACTGCACTCCAGCCTGGGTGACACAGCGAGACTCCGTCTCAAAAAAAAAAAAAAAAAAAAAAAGTTATACAAAATTCTAATTTCAGTGTCCAAAGATAAAAGTTTTCCTGGACAAATATGGTGGCCCACACCTGTAATCCCAGCATTCTGGGAGGCCGAGGTGGGCAGATGACTTGAGGTCAGGAGTTCAAACCAGCCTAGCCAACATGGCAAAGCCCCGTCTCTATTAAAAATACAAAAATTAGCCGAGCATGGTGACACGCACCTGTAATCCCAGTTACTTAGAACACTGAGGTGGAAGAATCGCTTGAACCTGGGAGATGGAGGTTGCAGTGAGCCAAGATCATATCACTGCACTCCAGCCTAGGCGACAGAGCAAGACTCTGTCTCAAAAAAAAAACAAAAAAAAAAGTTTTCCTGTACAGGTGCAGTGGCTTAAGCCTGTAATCCCAACACTTTGGGAGGCTGAGGTGGGTGGATCACTTGAGGCCAGGACTTCGAGACCAGCCTGGCCAACACGGTGAAACCCCATCTCTACTAAAAATACAACAATTAGCTGGGCATGGTGGTGCACAGCTGTGATCCCAGCTAGGCAGAAGGTTGAGGCACAAGAATCACTTGAACCCGGGAGACGGAGGTTGCAGTGAGCCAAGATCTCACCATTGCACTCCAGCCTCAGTGGCAGAGTGAGACTCTGTCTCAAAAACAAACAAACAAACAAAAAAACCACACAAACAGAAACAAAAAAGGCCAGGTGTGGTGGCTCATGCCTGTAATCCCAGCAGTTTGGGAGGCCGAGGCAGGCGGATCACTTGAGGTCAGGAGTTCGAGACCAGCCTGGTCAACATGGTGAAATGCTGTCTCTACTAAAAATACAAAAATTAGCTGATGTGGTGGTGCGAGGCTATAATCCCAGCTATTTGGGAGGCTAAGGCAGGAGAATCACTTGAACCTGGGAGGTGGAGTTTGCAGTGAGCTGAGATCATGCTACTATACTCCGCCCTGGGTGACAAAGTGAGACTCCATCTCAAAAAAAAAAAAAAAAAAAAATTCAAAAAACAAAGATAAAGTTTCATGGAACACAGCCACATCCATTCACACACATATTGTCTATGGCTGTTTAGTCCTATGTGGCAGACATGAGTAGCTGAGACAGAGACTGGCTGGCCCTAGAAGCCTAAAATATTTACTCTGTGGTTGGGTGCGGTGGCTCATGCCTGTAATCCCAGCCCTCTGGGAGGCCAGCAGGTGGATCACCTGAGATCAGGAGTTTGAGACCAGCCTGACCAATATGGTGAAACCCTGTCTCAACTAAAAATACAAAAATTAGCCAGGCGTGGTAGAGCGCAACTGTAGTCCCAGCTACTCTGGAGGCTGAGACAGGAGAATTGCTTGAGCCCAGGAGGCAGAGGTTGCGGTGAGCCAAGATCGCGCCACTGCACTCCAGCCTGGGCGACAAAGCAAGACCCCATCTCACGAAAAAAAAAAGAATTTTTACTATGTGATGAGACCGGAAAGTGGGTGAAATTTCCCTGGATGATGCACAGGAGGAGTGAATGTCTAAGACAGCATCCTGGGGAACATTAAGATTTACGTGGCAGGCAGAGGAAGAGAACATCAGAGGAGACTGAGAAGGAGGAAGGGATGGCCAATGGTCAAGTGAATCCCAAATACATCCATCGGATTCAGCAACAGTGACCACAAGTGGCCTGCGTCTTTATGTCTTACCAACCCATCCAAGGTGGCCTGCAGTTCCTCACATAGCTTCTCCAGTTCCTCGTTATATTCCAGACACACCTTTTCTTCATTTTCCTTCAAGGCTGGGCTGCTGCTGTCTAGTTCTATCTTGTCTTTATTCCTAAACAAAATAGAAAATAATGTGAACAAAATATACTCTTTATAAACTCTTTAGCCTTGCCTTATTTCCTTATAATAAATTCTGCAAACCTCTATATCCACATAGTTACGTGGGACATTTTGCATAAGCATTGTTCTTTCATATCATGATATAAATTCAGTTATTATTTATATGTGCAATGAATATGTCCATTGGTCACTCAATTTTGCACCAAAATAAGTCAGTTAAATTCAGCCATGACAGCTGGTTTTGGTGGCTCATGCCTGTAATCTCAACACTTTGGGGGGTGGATGCGGGAGGACTGCTTGAGTCCAGGAGTTTGAATCCAGCCTGAGCAACATAGTGAGACCTCATCTCCACAAAAATTAAAAGTAAAAATTAGCTGGGCATGGTGGGACACGCATGTGGTCCTAGCTACTTAGGAGGCTGAGGTGGGAGGATCACTTAATCCCAGGAAGTCAAGGCTGCAGTGAGCCGTTATCGCACCACTGTACTCAGCCTGCGCAAAAGAGCAAGACTGTCTCAAAACAAAAAACAAAAAACAAAAAAAACAACATTCAGCTGTGTGGCATCGTTGGCATAGGGCGTGGTGCTGGATGTACAAAGATGAACAAGACATGGATCATTTCCTCAAAGAGTTCAAAATCCAGGAATACAGACATGCCTCATTTTACTATGCTTCACCTTACTGAGTTTCATAGATAATGCATGTTTTACAAATTGAAGGCCTGTGGCAACCCTGTGTATGTACGTACGGCAAATCAACCAGCGCCATTTTTCCAATAGTATGTGCTTACTTCATGTCTCTGTATCATATTTTGGTAATTCTTACAATACTTCAAACTTTTTCATTATTATATCTATGATCTTTGATTGATAATCTTTGATATTACTAGTTTAATTGTTTTGAGGTGCCATGAACCATGTTCACATGTAACATGAACCATGTTCACATTAAGCGTGGTGGAGCTTAATGAATGAATGTTGTGTGTTCTGACTGCTCCACTGACTGGCTGCTCCCATTTCTCCCCATCTCCTTGGGCCTCCCTATTTCCTGAAATAGGAGGATATTGAAATCAAGCCAATTAATAGCCCTACATTGGCCACTAAATGTACAAGTGAAAGGAAGAGTTGCATATCTCTCATTTTAAATCAAAAGCTATACTTTGGCCAATTTAAGAAACAAAAATATTAAAAGCTGGAAATGATTAAGCTTAGTGAGGAAAGCATGTCAAAAGCTGAGATAAGGGGCCAGGTGCGGGGGCTCACGCATGTAATCCTAGCACTTTGGGAGGCCGAGGCGGGTGGATTGCCTGAGCTCAGGAATTCAAGACCAGCCTGGGCAACATGGTGAAACCCCATTTCTACTAAAATACAAAAGAAATTAGCCGGGCGTGGCAGCATGCACCTGTAGTCCCAGCTACTCGAGAGGCAGAGGCAGGAGAATTGCTTGAACCCAGGAGGTGGAGGTTGCAGTGAGCCAAGATTGCACCATTGCACTCCAGCCTGAGCGACAGAGCGAGACTCCATCTGTACAAAAAAAAAAAAAAAAAGGGCTAAGATAAGCCAAAAGCTAGGCCTCTTGTGTCAAACAGTTGGCCAAGTTGTGAAGGCAAAAGAGAAGTTATTGAAGAAAATTAAAGGTGCTACTCCAGTGAACATGTGAATGATGAGTGAAACAGCCTTAGCGCGGATATGGAGAAAGTTTGAGGGGTCTGCACAGAAGAGCAAAACAGACACAGCATTCCCTTAAGTCAAAGCCTAATCCGGAGCAGGACCCTCACTCTCTTCACTTCTATGAAGGCTGAGAGACATGAGGAAGTTACAGAAGAAAAATTTGACACTAGCAGGATTTGGTTCATGAGGTTTAAGGACAAAAGCCATCTCCATAACATAAAAGTGCAACGTGAAGCTGCAAGCGCTAATGTAGAAGCTGGAGCAAGTTATCCAGAGGATCTACTTAAGATCAATGATGAAGGTAGCTACACGATATGACAGATTGTCAATGTAGATGAAACAGCCTTCTATTAGAAGAACATGTTATCCAAGACATTCACAACTACAGAGAAGTCAATGACAGGCTTCAAAGCTTCAAGAGACAGGCTGACCCTCTCGTTAGGGGATATTGCAGTTAGTGACTTTAAGCTGAATCCAATGCTCATCTACCATTCTCAGACTCCTAGGGCCCTTAAGAATGATGTTAAATCTACTCTGCCAGTGGAAAAAGCAAGAGAACCAGAACTAGAAGTGGGGCCTGAAGATGGGACTGAATTGCTGCAATCTCATGAGAAAACTTGAACAGATGAGGAGTTGTTTCTTATGGATGAGCAAAGAAGGTGGTTTCTTGAGGTGGAATCTATTCCTGGGAAAGATGCTGTGCACATTGCTGAAATGACAACAAAAGATTGAGAACATTACATAACTTAGTTGATAAACCAGTGGCAGAGTTTGAGAGGTCTAATGTGGGTAAACACTATTAAACAGCAATGAGAAAGAACAGAACCAGGACAGTGGCTCTACATTACATGGATGGCTTCCAAGTTGAAAGACAGTGAGACATGGCTGGGTGCAGTGGCTTACATCTATAATCCCAGCACTTAGGGAGGCTGAGGTGGGCGGATCACCTGAGGTCAAGAGTTCGAGACCAACCTGGCCAACATGGTGAAACTTGGTCTCTACAAAAAATACAAAAATTAGCCGAGCGTGGTGGCAGGCACCTATAATTCCAGCTCCTCAGGAGGCTGAGGCAGGAGAATTGCTTGAACCTGGGAGGCAGAGGTTGCAGTGAGCGGAGATCCGGCCATTGCTCTCCAGCCTGGCGACAGAGTGAGACTCATCTCCAAAAATAAAAAATAGAAAAAGAAAGCGAGACATAAAGGAAACACTAACATACGTTTTCTGTTTATGTAAAATCCAAAAATGGACAAAAAGAATCCATGGTAGTTTTTTCCATATCAGCTACGTACTGTGTCAACATCATAGCAAAGTTTGAGGAAGGCACAGGTCATACATGAGCATGAAAACCCAATCATCACGCCTATGAACTACAAAAGAATCAAAGAATCTATGGTTTTAAAAATCAGAATAGCCAGGCATGGTGGCTCACACTTGTAATTCCAGCACTTTGGGAGGCTGAGGAAGGTGGATCATGTGAGGTCAGGAGTTCGAGACCATCCTGACTAACATGGTGAAACCCCGACTCTACTAAAAATACAGTAATTAGCCGGGTGTGGTGACAGGCGCCTGTAATCCCAGCTAGTCCGGAGGCTGAGGCAGGAGAATCACTTGAACCCAGGTGGTGGAGGTTGCAGTGAGCCAAGATTGCGCCATCGCACTCCAGCCTGGGCAACAGAGTGAGACTTCATCTCAAAAAAAAAAAAAAAGGAATATAATTTTGTATCATGTGTCATCTTACCACTTGCTTTTTCTGCTTAATATTTTATTTTCAAATTTATTCATGTTGCTATTTCCCCACTTATTAAGGGTGAAAAACTTAGAGCATGAAAAACCGATATGTACTTACAATAAACTGATTTTCAAGTTGGCAATATTATTTGCAGTGGTAAAACCTGCATCACTGAGGGTTTCCCACTTCAGGATTAAATTATGCCAATCAGCCGCATTGTCCTTAATTTTTCTTGCACTGACAGATAAGACAGGTTTTCTGGGCGTTACAATTCCAACAGTCTTTGCTGATAGGGTATAAAAGAAACAAAATTATTATCATGGAATATACAATCATAGTTGGAGGGCAAATGTCCTCATAATTTTCAACGGTAAAACTATCTCAAATGCTGTATCAACTGGACAAATAAATGTGGAAACTACAAAGTCTGAATGAATGTGAAGGTTCCCGGAAGAAGACAACATAGAATATTTTTAACATTTTAAGATTCACCAGATATAGCTGAATCCTTTTCCAGCTTAATGGCTCCGCACAATTTTTACCTTAAGCCCTTTGTTTTCCAAAGATTGGAAATAAGGTAAAGTTGTGACTTTCTGCTAAAACTCTTCAATGGCTCAGGTTACCTTCCCTACAGGATAATCTATCTAGCCCTGACTCCTGAGTACTTCCACTATCTAGTCTCAGGCACTCTGATACTTTAAATTTGTTCAGAGTGGCATGGCTCATGAGTGCGAATCATTTCAAGACACTGAGACAACAGAGATGCAGAGTTGATCACGATGCTGCCACGGCCCTGCTTGGAAATCAGGAGGAAGTCCAAAGTCCTTCCAGACTTAGCTACCCCTCTGCATCAACACGTACATCAACCCACACATACACATTGGCCCCCTGTCAATCTCCAGTGAAAATGAACTACTGGCAGCTCTCGAAAAGCTGAGGTGCCTGCAGGCCTTTGCACGTGTTCTCTCTGCAGGAAAGCGCCTTCCTTCCTCAGGCTCATGACGCCTATCCTCCAAGATGTACCCGGATCCCACTGCCTGTGGGAAGCAACCCCCAGACCACCAAGAGCCAACTCAGGTTGTTTGTTCTCCCCCAGCCCTCCGGTGCCCTCTCGCCTTCTCTACTTTGAACCCCGCAAAGGCTTCTCACGGCCCACAGGATAAAGTCCCCTTCAGGAATCCAGGACACACAACAGCTGGATGGTTTGACGTCTCGAGTCAGAAGACCACACTGCCTGCGTCTGAATCCCAGCTCTGCCAGCTGTGAGATCTTGGGCAAGTTCATGTACCTTTCAGAGCCTCAACATTTTCATCTGTAAAATGGGAATAAAAATAGTATCTACTTCATAGGATTGCTGAGATGAGATAATATATGTGAAGCTGTGAGGCCTGGCACATGGCAAAAACCCAGTATCTCACCTGTTAGCTCAAGGCCTCTACTATCCAAGCTCTGCCCATCCCTTCAGCTTCCCCCTTCCCACTTGCCCTCTGTGCCTCAGAGCTGGCTCTGTCCAAGTTCTGACCTTGACCTGGAATGTTTTTCCTATCTGTGTGTGTCCCCACTCCCCTGCCTCATACTTAGTATCCTCACTTTTAAATATCATATTGATTTATCACTCATTCTTTACTTAAACAACAAATATTTGCTTACTGTCTACAATATGCCAGGCATGGGGGAATGAAGTGATTGAATGAGATGGATCAGGACTGTTTTCAAGGAACTTACTTTCCAAAGGGGAGGCAGATAATAAACGATTAAATGGCCACGATCAGTTCAGATCATGGTAAGTGTACGTGGAAAATAAAACAGGGTCTTGTGTTAGTGTGACCCCCTGAGAAGGTATCATTCAGGCTGAGATCTGAATGATGAAAAGCCAGAAAAAGGGTAGGTCAGTAGTATGTGCCCTAATTATGAGAATGAGGTTGGTGAGTTCAAAAAACAGAAAACAAAACAAAATAAAACAAACAAACAAACAAAACCAGTGTGCTGGAATGAAATGGACAGAAAAGGACTAGTGGGTGAGGAGGTGATCAGACAACTAGAACCTAATAGCTTAAGATAAGAAGTTTGGACTTATTCTAAGTATTAGACCGGTGCAAAAGTAACAGGTTTTGCCACAACTTTTAATGGCCAAAACTGCCATTACTTTTGCACTAACCTAATACAATGGGGAGTGAGCAATAAGCTCTGGGTAGGGCAGTGAAATTATCTGATTCAGGTTTTTAGAAAGTCATTTCCACAGAGAAGTATTCCTGGATCCCCCAAGTTGGGGGGTAGATATGTGGAACATCCTGTAATTCTGCTATCATGATATTCATCGGTGGAGTGTATTTGCTTGTCTAATGTCTATATTCCCTGCTAAACTGGAAATTCAACTAGGGTAGGAACTATGTCTTGTTCTCTTTCAAACCTTCCACACATAGGAGGCTTTGCATAAAATGAGGTAAATGGAGGAATAGCTCTTACCACCTGTTCTATAACTGTCTGAGGGTTTTCCCCCCAGCAGGAGATTCTGAGGGCCGGACCACATCTGATTTATGGTCAGCCTGACTCATACTGGGCACATATTTAGGAACCAAAAACATAACTGACTTCAGGAAACTTAAGGGCCAGTAAAGACAGACCAGTCATCAGCGTCACAGGACAGGGCAGGGTGAGGGCACAGTGACTAAGTTACTTATCCCCTCTGAGCCTCTACTCCCCATCTGCAAAATGGGGTTGACATTACTTCATGGGATCACTGTGAGGTTCAAATGAGATGATCCACTTAAAGTACTTGGAGCAGCACTCAGCAGACTGAGCACTAGGCGAAAGCCAGCTTTCATTACAAGCAGAATGTTCTGACAAGGCAGTTCAGAGAGGAGTTACTGGAGGAGGTGAGCATGCAAGGCTTGGCACCCAGTGAACTCTGTTAGTGCTAATTTATAGTGACAATAATTACAATTTGGGTGTCTGATCTGCTGACACTCATTTGCGTATATCGTCCCGTTCATCTGTCACTCCACATGTGAAAAAACGGAGGCTCGGCAAAACTGTCTCCCGAGCAGCCTGCAGAGGCTGCGCGGGGCCTGCGGGCTAGGCTGGGGCAAGGCATCTGACCTCCATTTAACCTCATTTAATCCGGGGAGCTCCTCAGCTTCTGGCCCAACCTGCGGCCCAAGCAGTAACATTCACAGCCACCCTGCCCCGGGAAAGGAACCCATCTCACGCACCTTCCATGCGGTCCGCAGATATCCCTAGAAGGAGAGGCGAAGCCCCGCCCACCCCCGCCGGAAACGCATTTGCGTCACGTCCGCCCCGCCCGCTACCACTTGTGGCTCTGCCGCTCTAGCCCCCGGCGGAGCCAACTGCCGCTCTTCGGTGCTGGCCCGGGTGCCGGCCCCGTTGCCCAGGGAACGGGCTCCCGGCAGCCCCCGCGGCCCGGAGTCCATCCCCGCCTCCTCCGGCCCGGTGGGGCCGACGAGTCCGGAGGGGCTGCCGCGGGAGGTGAGTCCCGCGACGCGGCAGGCGGCCCCGACGCCCCCGACTCCTGGCCCCTCGCCCCCTCCTCGGCCTCCCCCAGGCCACTCTTCCCTTGCCTCAGCCCCGCAGGGTCTCCATGCCCGTCCGCCCTGCCTCCCTCGCCCGCGGTCTCGCCCGCGCGGAGTGGCGGACACTAAATGCCACAACACACGGAGCGCCTGGCTTGCCGCCCGCGGAAGCCGGCGGTCCGCAGCGGGGAGCAGGGGCCGCCCGCCCCTCCTCAGGCCTCCGCCGCGCGCCCCGTACCCTCGGTCCCACCCTGCACACCGGCTGCCGGTCTGGCGGCGGGCTGTGCTCCTTCGCCTTAGGATTGACGTCGCGTTCTGTCCCCCACTCGCAGCCCGCGTCCCTTACATCCGCCCACCGGCGCCTGGCCCCAGGCCTTGACACTCACCCAGTTGGTGTTCAGTGTTCGATGAATGGATAAGCGAATGACTCCTTTCCCAACCCTATTTGAAGACCTGGGAGGCAGAATAGGTAGTAAGGGTTAAAGAATGGGGTGTCCTGGAGTCAGACCCGGGCAGGTCACAGCGGCATCTTCCTCCATCTGTGCTGGGGCAAGTGCCCTACCTCACGCCGCTCCGGTTTCATCACCAGTGGAATGGAGATGAGAATAGTTTCTACATCTGGCTTGGTGAGAGGATTAAATGGGTCAGTGCATGTAAAGTTAAGCATGGTGCCTGCCGCTGTACATTTCTGTAAAGGGGAGCCTCTGCTGTCATTTGTGCTAGCCTGCCTTCTCGCCCTCTAGTCCGTTCTGATATGTCTCTGACTTCTCATGACTTTAGTTACTCCTTCTCTACTTCCATTTCTCTTCCCTGCCCTTTTTTCTTCCTCTCTTTCTTATTGAGATTCAGGAATTTTATTCTGTTCTGTGACTTATGTTCCATTTGTTGGCAGAATGTGGGATACCAAACTGGGTACATTCTTTTCTCATCTACTGGAGTGATCAGTTGCACTTGTTGACTGCCTCCTTGCAGCCAAGGTCTTGTAAACAGAGAGTTCTGGGAAATCCGCAAACCCAAATCGCGGGCATAGGTAGAATCTGGGAATGAAGCCACTGTAGCTCCTTGTGATCACCAGTGATTCCTGGTCTTTTAAGCTGCAGTACTTTGTGTTTTCTCACACCCAGCTATAATGTACCTTGATAAACCTCTGACCTTGTTTTTGTTGTTGTTGTTAACCTGACTTACGTCCCATGTTGATTATTTGGCCATCGTATGCCAGCCACTGTGCCAGGTTGGCTCTAGGGATGCTGTGGTGAACCAGACAGACCTGGTCACTGCCTCAGGGAGATCATGGTCTGGCCTTTGAACTTTAAAAGAGAGATCTAAGTGCAGGTGTAGGGGACACACAAATTGAATTTTCAGGACTGCCTTGGAAAACCACTGGTGGGGAAGATGGAATGAGGATAACCCTCTTCTGAAGGAGTGACTAGGAAGTAGTTTTTGTTAGGTAGGCATCAGCTATATTATACCCACATGTCTTTTTCAATGGAAGACTGGCATCTACTGGATTTTTTTTCCAATTTTTTCTTAAAGAAGTTACACTTAAGTTTGGGGAGAATCTCTTTTCATACTAGCCTCTCTATGAGTTGAACAAAATGGCTACTGGAACTTAGTAGGAAGAAAAGGAAGGAAACAGGCATCAGGCAGAGGCAGTTGATTGAACTTGGGAAGATGAGGAATAGATCAGGAAAGCGTTATAATAAAAAGCTTTGGTGTCAAGCATGAAGAGATTTCTAGATTCAGTAATGCACAGAGAGCTCAGTAAAGTTAGAAGGGAGTAGTTGATGGCTTTGTGAATTGCTAAGGTAGAAGGGAGCTGTTACTCAAGATGTGTATTCAGTTTAAAATGAATGTATTCTTTGGACCTGGACATAAGAGTTCCACCGAATTTTTGCCACTATTTTATATTTAGGGCTATCATACTTGGGTGAATCTAGCACAGTGCTTTGAGAGAGAGATTCATTCAACAAACATGTATTGAGCATTGATTGTACCATACTCTTTATTGGTCTTTTTAAGCACCACAAAGTATATAGACTAGAAGAACATAGACAAAGATGACAAAGAGTCCATTGAAGGGGAGAGAAAACAGACAATGATGGTGCTGTGTAATAACTGCCGTCATGGAGTTCTATGAAAGTAGAGAAAGACCAACCAAATATCTGAGGGAATCTATGAAGGCTTCCTGGTGGAGGAGGACTAGTTCTTACAGGGTACATATGAGGGAAAAGGGGAGAGGGGAAAGGGACTTCGTTCTACAGAGACATATAGGTTGTGGTGTGTGCAGAGACTGTGATGGAAAGCTGATGGATGGACAAACAAAATGTGCCCTGTCCATACAATGGAAGCCTGTTCAGCAATGAAAGGGAACGAAGTACCGATTGGTGCTACAACATGGAGGAACCTTGAGAACATTATGCTAAGTTAAAGCAACCAGACACAAAACACCACATAGTATATGATTCCATTTAAATGAAATGTCCAGAATAGGCAAGCTGTAGACAGAGAGGAGATCAGTGGTTGCCCAGGGCTGGGAGAAGAAGCAAGTAGAGGGGTGATTGCTAAGTTAGGAAGTGCACAGTGTGTGGATGAAGAGTGGCCTGAGACGAAGTTAGATATAGACTGTTTTGTCGTAATGTCTACTTTCCATGCTTGTGGTAGGCTTTAGCTTGTGACCATTGGGTAGCTGATGGGGATGGGAGCAAGGAAGTGACAAAATTTTGTCTAGAAGATAAATGATTGCCTCAGTCTCATTACATTCCTCCTTAAGAATTTAATACTTAAATAATTAATAGATGTCGTAGCCAGATTTCAAATGTAGATTCTACAATAGGGATACGAATTGTTGCTTCCTAGGGATTTTGGAGAGAATCCTTAAACCATTAGTGTAGTCAGAGCACTCTGATAACATGGTTTTTGTACTGCTAAGAGGATGACTTAGACTCTGTATTAGTCCTAGCTCCAGTTTTGAGAAATTGGCCATCAGGGTGGCAGTTGGGTGTTAGCAGTCAGCAGTGAAGCCTAGCTGCACCTTCCAGGGTTATGAGAGTGATGGGGCTGGTGGGGAAAGGAAGCATAGTAACTTGAAGAATGCCGTAGAGTGGTGTTTTGTATTTTTTTAACTGAAATATTCATGACTGAGGAAGCATTATTCATTATATTTTTATTTATTTATTTTTGAGATGGAATAGCACTCTGTTGCCCAGGCTGGAGTGTAGTGGCACGATCTTGGTTCACTGCAGCCTCCACCTCCCAGGTTCAAGTGATTCTCCTGCCTTAGCCTCCCAAGTAGCTGGGATTGTAGGTGTGTACCACCACACTCGGCTAATTTTTGTATTTTTTAGTAGAGATGGGTTTCGCCATGTTGGCCAGACTGGTCTTGAATTCCTGGCCTCAAGGGATCCTCCCACCTCGGCCTCCCAAAGTGCTGGGATTACAGGCGTGAGCCACTGTGCCAAGCCCAGTTTTAAAGATTGGAGTGAGACTATTGTTTTGCAGTAAGACCTGAAGTTAACAAATCTTTACCGAGCGTCTACTCTGTGCCAAAGATATTATTAGATACTAGGAGTTACCTTGGTAAGCAAGAGAGAATTCATGTTGCTTACATTCTCATAGAAGAGATGATCTTTAAATGGTTTAGCAAATAAAGCAATTAGAGGTTGTAATGAGAATTATGAAGCATGTGTGATAGAGGAAAGAAGGGACAGTGGGTACTCTTTAAGTGATCTGGTCAGAGAAGGCCTTTTTGTGGTGGTGATATTTAAGCTAGACCCCATGGTTGAGAAGAAGCCAGATAAATGAAGTGAGAAGATCATTCATTCTGCATAGAGGAAATAATTATGAAACCTGAGCAGGACAGAGTGGGTCAGTGGAGCTAGAACTTGGAGGACAAGTGGAGATGGGTAGAGAGGTGACGGGGAGCTGCAAAGGGCTTAGACTACATGGGGCATTTGGTTTTTATTCTTGAGCACTGGGGAACAAGTGAGGAGTTTTGAGTAGAATGGGCAGTATGGTCTGATTTCTCTTTGAAGGAACTGATTTTTTCCTTTGTTTTTTGGGGGGTAACAGCTTTATTGAGATATAATTTACATGCCACACAGTTCACACATTTGTATACAATTCCATGGTTTTTACTGTATTCACAGCTATGCAGCCATCACTATGTCAATTTTAGAACTTTCTCATCACCCTAAAAGGAAACTCCGTACCCCTCAGCAGTACACCCTAACCCATTCTTCTCCCAGCCCTGGGCAACCACTGACTTACTTTCTATCTATAGCTTGCCTATTCTGGACGTTTCGTATACGTGGAATCATATACTATGTGGTGTTTTGTGTCTGGTTGCTTTCATTTAGCATAATGTTCTCAGGATTCCTCCATGTTGTAGCATGAATCAGTACTTCACTCCTTTTTATTGCTGAACAGGCTTCCATTGTGTGGATAGACCACATTTTGTTTGTCTATTCATCAGCTGATGGACAGTTAGGTTGTTTTGACATTTTGGCTATTATGAGTGGTGATATTATGAACATTTATCTACAAATCCTTTGTAGACGTGTTATCATTTCTATTGAGCATAAACCTAAGAATATAATTTCTAGGTCGTATGATAACTCTGTGTTTAACCTTTTGAAGAACCACTGACTGGTGGCTGCACCATTTTATTTTTCACCAGCAATGTATACAGTTTTCTCCACATCCTTGCTAACACATGTTCTGTGTTTTTTTAGTAGCCATCCTAGTAGGTGTGAAGTGGTATCTCCTTGTGGTTTTGATTTACATTTCCCTAATGATTAATGATGCTGAGCATATTTTCGTGTGCTTATTGGCCCTTTTTTTTTTTTTTTTTTTTTTGAAATAGAGTCTCGCTCTGTCGCCCAGGCTGGAGTGCAGTGGTGTGATCTTGGCTCACTACGACCTCCACCTCCTGGATTCAAGTGATTCTCGTTTCTTCGGCCTCCTGAGTAGCTGGGATTACAGACATGCGCCACTATGCCAGCCTAATTTTTGTGTTTTTAGTAGAGACGGGGTTTCACCATATTGGCCATGCTGGTCTCGAACTCTCAACCTCAGGTGATCCACCTGCCTTGGCCTCCCAAAGTGCTGGGATTATAGATGTGAGCCACTGCGCCCAGCCTTACTGGGCATTTGTGTGTCTTCTTCGGAGAAATGTTTCTTAGACCTTGCCCATTGTAAAATTGTCTTTAGTTGTTGTTTTGAGATGAAGTCTTGCTGTGTTGATCAGGCTGGTCTCAAATTCCTGGGTTCAAGCGATCTTCCCACCCAGCTTCCCAAGTAGCTGAGACTAGCCACATGACACTGCACCCAGCTTTTAAAATTGTCTTTTATTATTGAGTTTTAAGAGCTCTTTATATATTCTGGGTAAAACCTCTTATCAGATATATAACCAGCAGATATTTTCTTCCATTTTGTGGGTTGTCTTTTTTTTTTTTTTAATTTCAGTCAGTGTTGTGGATTAGATGTATTTTTACTTTCTTGATGGTGCCCTTTGGAACACAAGCGCTTTTCATTTCAGTGAAGTCAAACAGCTAATTTTGACAGCTGAATGAGCCTGGCTTCTGGGGGCAGGCATGGAAGACCATGGCAGCAGTGTAGGCGAGGGATA